CCCCGCCCCGAACCCCATCCAAAACAAAAACAAATAAGTTGGTGTTAAGGTTTCGAGACCAAAAAGAACCTCTGACAAATTGGTATTTCAGTTCTTAACTGCGATTAAGAGGTGAGATCATTTTTTTTAACCGTGTGCTTACATCTTTTAGTTCTTGTTAACATTTTCTGTATCGTTTGGTGGCATTAGACACTTTCTTAACCTAACCTGTTCATGCTGATTCCTTTTGTAATAAATACTGTGCAACTTAAATGTTATGAGCAATGAGGGTTAATTATTCTAGGAAGACTATCATTAATCCAGCTTGTCTTTCTCCAGTGCTGTTTTCTTTCTTTATCCTTTAACAACATCAGACATGGATGTTGACTTAGTATCGAAAAGTGATGCAAAATCATCCAGAAAAAAAGCCAAAAAGGAAAAGAAGCTAAAAAAACACAAAAAGGAGAAAAAGCAAAAGAAGCATAAAAAGAAGATCAGAGAGTCGTCATCTTCATCATCGTCAGTAAGTTAAATAATTTGTTTTGATTTTTTAAAACTGCCATTCTGATGGTGGCATTTATATGTACTTCTTTCAACCATTTTAAGGATTCTGAGGAAAGTGGTAATGAGTGGGTGGAGAAAGAAAGTAAACCCAAGTTCGATTCCAAGGTGGAGACCGAAGCTACACCTTTATCAAGTGCCCCCCAGCGTGATGAGTGGATGAATACTCCTTCTATTTTTGCCTGTGTGACTCGTGATCAGCTTCGTGCTGCAAAAGAACCAAGTGAGAAACAAAAGAAAGAAGAGGAAAAAAAGTACATGCTTGACAGGGTACATAATTATTTAATAGTGAAAACCACTTTATTACAGAAAACACATTAATAATAGTTTTTCTATTAGTGATATTTCTACTGACATTTATTTTTCAGCCGGGTCAAACCGACCGTGAGCTCAATCCTTACTGGAAAATCAATGGTACAGGACTTCCAAGTGAAAAACCTGTTGATCCTGAATCTTTGACTTTAAATGCCAATACTGTTGGAGATCAAGGAGTTAGTTGGTTACGAAGAGCTCTGAAGCGTGCTAAAGAGCAGGCTGAAGAGTCTGGAAGATCTTTAGAAGAAGTTGCTACTGAACGCTGGGGAGTAAGTAATAACAACAGTTAGTAAAAAAGTAAATAGGAAGTAAGAATAATAAGTGTACTTATATACAATGTATATTTTATTTTACAGTCACTTGAAAAACTTGAGGAACTGTTGTCAGAAGCTGAAGGTCGCAAAGTTTCTTTAAGGCAACCCAAATTTGGTGCTCAGAGGAGGGATAACAGAACAGAGAATAGGTATGATAAAGGTACTAGCAATCAGGGTACAGGTTTTAACAAACTCGGTGAAGGATCAAATGAAAGAAGGAACGAGTCTGGCAGAAGATACAGAGAGGAAAAAGAGAGAAGTGATGAAAAAAACTATACAAGGAGACATGAAACTGCAAAAGATGAAGATAGAGGCAACCATTCAAGAAAGCCAAACTTTGCAAGACCTAGTGACAGTCACAGCTCAAGTTACAGCAACAGTAAAAGAGAATCTTCAAGCACTAACCGTTCGTACGATGATTCAGAATCCTTTGATAGATACCGACACTCAACTTCTGATGGAAGATCAAAGTTAAGCTTCAGGAAACCTGTAGAAAATGATATTGAATCTTCATCTGATTATAGATCCAGTCAAAGATCAAGTGGTAGTAGTAGAAAGAGCTGGCGGAAAAAAGAAGCTCCATCTTCTGAAACTAGCTCTTCTTTAGATGATGATAATAAAAATAGTTGCTGTGATGCATCTACCTCTAAGATCAGTATAACAAAAAATAAAAATAGAAATGAAAGGGCACCTTCCAGATCCTCAAGTCCAGAAGCAGAAGACAACTCACCACCTATTGCTACAGAACCGGCGCCTGAGGTTCTTTCTGACAAACAGATGAATGAACTTGCAGCTAAATTAGTGAAAGCTGAAATCCTAGGAAATGAAGAGCTTGTGGCACAGCTTAAGAAAAGACTTTCCACAGCTCGAGAGATTCGAGCTGCTAATCCCGAAGCTGTAACATCACTCAAATCATCCAATAAAACTGAAGCAGAAGTAGTAATTCTGACAAGAACCGATTCTAAGGGCTTTGCTAGACCTCTTCAGACATACAGTGGTGCTCATCCAGAACCTGTAGGAGGCAGAAGAAAGAGGGAAAAAGCTGATACTCATGGGGCAGATGGTCAGAGAGTACGATACTTTCCTGATGATGACAAATACTCTTTACAAGATATGTTTCAGAAGGAAAAACTCACCACTGCACAGGATCAGAATGAAATGTTTGCTAATTTGGCTGGTAAGGATAAAAGACAAGAACATGATTTGGACATGGATGACATTTTCTCAGAAAAAGCTCGCCAAAAAGAGTCTGATGGAAAAATTGAAGCACGAGAAAGAGGGAGAGCAATTTCAGAACATAAACGCAAAGAGCGTATGCTTGATGATTGTAAGTGGTGTTTTGATGGCAAGGAGCTGAAGCGTCATTTGATTGTAGCTGTCGGTGCTAAGTCATATATATGTCTTCCTCCATACCAATCACTCACTGAGGGACATTGTTTGATCATACCTCTTCATCATTCTATATGTGCGACACAACTTGATGAGGATGTTTGGGAAGAAATGCAGGTAAGATGAACAGTTAATAAATTCAGTCAAAATGATAATTATCACTCTCTATGTGCTGATATAAATTACAATACAGTAATATTATATCTTAAAATCTAGGATTTTCGTAAGGCATTGGTAAGAATGTTTGCTGCAGAAGATGAGGACTGTGTTCTGTTTGAAAGTGCCATGTACCTAAATAAATTCCCTCACATGGTTATGCACTGTGTTCCTTTACCGCGTGAGGTAGGGGATATGGCACCAATATACTTTAAGGTGAGATTTGATTAAAATGATTTCAAAACATATCGGTTTAATTTTTTTAAAACTATTTTCACAGTTTGGAATAGGGGCCTACAACTTAACATTTTTATATTAAATTAACTTAATTAATTTGTTGACATGTTTTTAGAAAGCTATACTGGAGAGTGAAACAGAATGGTCTACAAACAAAAAACTTGTTGACTTAGCCAAGAAAGACGTACGTCACTCAGTTCCCAAAGGACTGCCCTATTTTGCAGTGGATTTTGGAAATGAAGGTGGATTTGCTCATGTCATTGAAGATGAAAAAGACTTTCCTACTAACTTTGCTCAGGTATGAGATACATAGTTTAAAATTTGTATTTTATATTATTTTCCTTGAAAAAAAATCAGAATATTGTATTTACACCTTATGATTATTTGATCTTTAGGAAATAATTGGTGGGATGCTAGATCTAGACCACACTATATGGCGTAAACCAAGATTTGAAAATTTTGATAAACAGCGTCGGAAAGTTCTTGACTTTAGTAAAAAGTGGGAAGACTTTGATTTTACAAAAAAAAATAATCCATCAAAGAGAATGAAGACAGATTCAACATCAGACGAATCCTCATGAAAAGAGGCTAACTTTGTTACTTATATACTCTTCCACAGTGCAGACTAATCCTTCCCTTCTATGCAAGTAAATCAAAATAATATAAACAAAATTAGTATTTTCACGTTTTCACCTTCCCACCATATCCACGACAAGCGACGCCTTCAGCCGGGAAACTACCGTCAGTACGGCATTTCGTATCCATTTATGCTCGTTGATAAAAGAAGGGGGCAGTTGTTCTCTCTCGCACTCTGGGGCTTACACAACTGAGATGGTTCCCGCTGTGCGCGTTTCGAGAAAAAGTAAAGAAGTCTGGACCGAAACCATTACCAGAAGTTCACTGATTTTGAAAATTGACAGTGAAGTTAACTCCCCCAACAACCTTCTTCGATCTTTCATCACATCCAGTGAGCTATTCAGTTTAGCCACGCTCATGGCATGGGGCTGTCAAAATACCAAAAACCATCAACAACCAAAATCGGTTTAGCCGACCGACCGACCGACCGTCAACCTCGGAACTACCAGGACGACTGAAATATCGTGTCCGGGGTTTTTGGGATCATCCAGAAGGTACGTCCGTCAATCGCCGTTTCGAACCTCCCAAGTTCAGCCTATGCAAGGTCCCATAGCGCCTGTTGGGTAGGCAACATTCTGCCTGCAGTGCAGGCGTGTACTGCGGGTGGCCTACCCCGAGGCTCGCAGGCGCCGAGCGCCCGCCTTTTTGTCGAAGGATTCCGAGAAAAACAGACATACTTTTTGGACGACCTCTTTTTCGCACGCTGAGTCCGAATCTGGCAGTGCCGAGGTCGTCCGGGCCCCCGGGGACGTCATCGGGGACCTCCCGAGCACGCCGATGACACTCCCACGACGAACGCGATTCGGCTCCAAACGTCGTGTACCCGGGCTGGTGCATATTTCCTAAAAGTCGCCAAATATAATTTTTATTAACAGCAAATCGCCCATAATAGTTTATTATCCTGATCATTTCATTATTGTCACGGCTACAGCACTTTCCTGGCGTCGCCCCCTGCAGCCACAGCCACACAACGATGCACGGGGCGGGAGGCATCCCCAAAGGATCACATCCCGGACAAGCGAGGCGGGATTGACTACCCCTGGCGTCCTTGGCCACAACTCCCTGAGGTTCTCCATAGAGCTGCGGCCACATGTTGCATAGGTCGGGAAAAGAATCACATCCCGTGACCACGATATGTCGGTGAGTGTCATTGTCTGACCAGAACTTCTGCCGTAATTATTGCTCTTCCCCCTTTGCCGTGCCGCGTCCCCTACCCCTCTCCTCCTCCCCAATCCGCATTTGCCGCGCCCTATGGAAACGTAAACAAACAATGAAAATCGGACGATCGGCGTCTTCTGCTAAATACCGATAATACCTACTCATTTAATTGGCCATAGGATTTTAATCAGAATTTTCGGGAGGACATCGCCACTTTTCGATATTAATCGCAAGGTATAGTGCTTGATTGTTTCCGGTCCAGAGTATTGAATTGTTCCATTCCAATATAAGAGGTTAGTGTGCTCCAGTGCACAAGTTGTCAGTTATTTTTTTGAGGCCGAATAAATGATGCCCGTGATGTAAACTTGGCGCTCTGTAAGCTTTGTTGAAAAGGTGTTGAATGGGTACACTTCTTTATTCCATACAGTATGTTAAATACTGTTGCAGGTCACTGTCAGTGTTTTATCATATGTCATCTATTTTACTCCATATTTTTCTCGTGGAACAAAACTTTATTACTTTCTGGTTGGGGTGCAAACCGAGTGATACTATTTGCGTAATCTCCCAAACAATTAATAATTGTACGTTGCATCTATTTGTAGCTACCCCTTCGAATTTAATGCTTGAGTCCAGTGCCAAATTATTTATTTGAAAGACCATGGACATTTAGAGATGTATGGGGGGAGAGGCATTGAAAGGTGTATTGTATTGTATGAGTAATTTAAATGTAATTAATAGTTGATGAGCACTAAAAGTACCATTTAATATGATTGCAGGAACTTGGCCCAGAAATGTTCTTGACATGAGGAAAGAAGTCTATGGAGTCATTTCACCAAAAGAATAGGTGAGTTGACATGACAGTAACCAACGCTGGTCCAATTTGTCTCTGCACAGACTCTATGAGGAGCTTCCTTTCGTGTGCATCAAAGGGTAGTTTTTGATGTTTTTTGTGGTGCCTTGGTTCTTTGTTGTCAATTTCAATCCTCTTCTGTCAAAATCCAGGCTGATTTGTTATCATTGAAAATGTCTTTTAAAAATCTTGACAATTTGGAAAATTGCTGGAATTGGTTTGGATTGGTCGGGCAAACTCCCTTTTCAGTTACCCTGTTTAAATATCATGGTGCCGACCCACTACAGCAGAGTTCTTAGCCTTAGG